CTCGCTGCGCCCGGTGCCCCCCCCCCCCACCCCAGCCCCACACACCTGAGAGGGGGTTGCAGACATCGCTGCCCTTATCAGGGTCAAGGTCGGGGTCAGGATCGAGGGGTCCCAGGGCAGGTGGGGCAATGTTGGGGCAGATGCCAGGTGTGGGGGGCTCATCCTCGTCGCTGGAGATGGCACTGGAGGCCGAGCTGCTGGGCCCCGGCTCCCACTCGGCCGAGCCCCGCGGTGCCCCTGGTGCCTGGCAGCCCCGGCCTGGGTGCAACACGCGGCGTGCCTCATCCCTGGCCTCCGTGTCTGCAGGAGGGGGCAGCGGGTGAGCACAGCCTGATGCCAGGGCAAGAGCTGGAGCCACCCGTGGCCACCCCCAGACCCCACAGGCCCAGCTGTGCCCCCACGCTGAACATGCTGTGCCCCACATCTGCCCCTGCCCCACATCCCCCCAGGACCCACTCCCCCAGGGCCCCAGCCCCACATCCCCCAGGTCCTGTGCCCGCTCACCCTTCTCAGTGCGCCGGCGGAAGGACAGCTTGCGCTTGCGGAGCCGGTTGAAGCCGCTGTCCAGATCGTTGCTGCCGGGGGAGCCAGGGATCATGTTCGTCTGCACCGGGGGAAGAAGGCATGAGCTGCAGGGGCCAGGGCAAGGGACCTGGACAGCACCCAGAGCCGTGGGGGGGCTTAGACCTGCCCAGCCAGGGGCTCTGGGGGAAGGTGAAAGGGGACTGTGGCCAGGCCACGTGGCAAGGACCTGAGCTTCGCACCCTGCAGACCCCCCCGGCCGACTGAGTCTCCCTCGGGGCCATGCTTCCCCCCAGCCATGCTGGAGCCCGTCCCCCCAGGGCAGGCACTTACATCCCGCAGGTTAAAGGTGATCTCCAGGCTGGACCAGAAGTAGTCGGAGAACTCAGGGTACATGTCCAGCACCTCCAGCAGGTCGTCGCGGTGGATCTTGTGCAGGTCACAGTAGGTCAGCGCTCGCACGTCCGCGCTCGACTTCCCTGGCCGCGCGTACAGGTTCAGCGGCTCCCCGAAGATGTCGTTCTTCCCTGGGAAGGGTAAGGTGGGGCCGTCAGCCACAGCCACGGCACCCACGTCCGCACCCCCAGGGACAGGGGTGGCCCCCATGGGGCTCACCGAGGATGGCCACGACGACATCACTGCGCAGGATCTCGATGGAGCCACGGGAGATGAAGTAGAGGGCGGTGAGGACGTCGCCAGCATGCACCAGCGTGTCGCCGGGCGGTGCATGCGTGGTCTTGAACTTCATGGCCAGGGCCCGCAGGCAGCCCTTGGTGGCACCCTTGAAGGGTTTGCAGTTCTGCAGCAGGCTGCGGTTCAGGTGCAGGCAGATGTCGGCCTGCAGGCACTCAGGGAAGCCCTTCAGCACCTGCGGAGGGCAGGCATCAGCGCCAGTAGCACCCCTCGCCCATGCACGCGCACCAGGATAATCACGCGTGCAGGCGTGAGAGTTCACAGCCATGTGCAGCCCCGCGCGCGCGCAGACCCATCTCCCAGGAGGTAGGGAGCAGGCAGGCACCACCTTCACCTGCCCCCCAGACCCAAGCCTGTGTCACGGTGCTGCAGGCCTCTCCACGGGGGTGGAGAAAGGCTCCCTGGTGTGTGCCCAGAGCATGGGGGCAGGGGTCTCCCTGCAAGGATCCTCCTGGCTAGCACAGGGGGATACTGGGGAAGCTGCGTGTGCCGGGGGGAGGGGGCATACGTGCACAGGGGCTGGCGCTGCAGGGGCAGGGAGGCCACAATAGCACCGTGTATGGAAGAGGGTCCTAGGGAGTGCTGTGTGCATGTGTTGGGGGGGACGGGGACAGGTGTACCATGTGTGCCACATGTGCAGGGGCAGGGGCCACATGTGTGGAAGTGAGTTGCAAGGGGTGCTGTGTGTGCAGCAAGGAGAATGGATGTGCCAGGCATGTGCAGGGGTCATGGGGCAGGTGTGTGCATGCATGTGAGTGTGCATGCATGCCCACACGTATTTGGAGGTGGGGGTTGTTGGTACTACCATTTGCAGGAGGCTGACAGGTATGCCAGGCATATGCAGCGTCATGGGACAAGTGTGCCACACATGTCTGGGGCAGGATTTGTGTGTGTGGAAGGGGGTCACTAGGAGTGCTGCATGCATGGGGGGGTAGCAAGCATGCCACACACGTGTGGGGTCACGGGACAGGCATGCCACGTGCGTGTGGGGCCAGGGGCAGGCAGGCTCGCTCACGGCGTTCATGTCGATGCCGTTGGTGTAGGACCAGGCGTGCTGGAAGTATTCCTCGAGGCGCTGGCGCAGCGGGTTGGGGATCTGGTGGA